GCTGCCACAGGGATCCAGAGGCATCTCCAGCACCAGCTGCCCCCTGCCCGTGTAGGAGCAGCACCAAAAAATGGGTTTTCCCTCCCAAAACGCACAGCCCACAGACATCATCTGGAATCACAGCGTGGATTTTAATCACAGGTGGATTAAAGCTCATCCACGGGCAGGGAGCGACACCTCCCAGGTGACTCCAGGCTGGCCTTGGGCACTTCCAGGGATCCAGGGAATTCCATTCCATCCCTCCTCACCTCACAGGGAATTCCATTCCACAGCTCCTCTGGGAATTCCATTCCATCCCTCCTCACCTCACAGGGAGCTCTCTCCCCACCTCCAAACCCGCTCCCTGTCAGTGTGAAGCCATTCCCTCTCGTCCTGGCATTCCTGCAGGAGCTCCCTGCTTGCCCTGCACCCTCAGAGCTCCTCTCCCAGCTCTGGAGCCTTTCCCTGGATCTGCCTCCCAGGCTGCTCCACAGGGAACAGCCCCGGAATTCCAGAGGGGGCAAAGTCCAGGCAGGAGCCAGGGGAGCACCCTGAGCTCTGCCCTGACACAGGGAAAGGTGTGAGCACTGCCCTGGGTTAGAGGAGCGTGGATCTCTGCAGGGAATTCAGCCTGGAATCGTTCACTGAAGTTTATGAGGTGTTTTTTTTTTTTTTTAAATAATTAAAAATCACAACTAGACCCTGAGTAAGACCCACACTCCTGGCTGTGCATCCACACTCCTATCTTAACTCCAGCTGAGTTGATTAAATCCAAGTATTTCTACATGTTGAGTCATAAGGAGACAGAGTTTTCTGGCTGCTGCTAGTGGTGGGTTTCTCTTTTTTGATTTTTTTTTTTATTTCTTTTTTCCTCTCCTTTAAATCCTAACTGCAGTTCTGAGTCAGACCCTGCCTGGTTCATTCGGGGAGTTTCGAGGCGAGTTTCCATTTATACAGGAGCTTTTCAAAGCCAAATTTCTGCTTTCCTCCTCCTCCTCCTCACCCCGAAACCATCGAGCACACACTGCCCCGGGGAGAAAATGCAGATCGTGACTAATCACACCCAGGAACCATCATGCGACCGAAGGAAGCCACTTCCAGCACTTCCCCACAGCCTCACCTGGGCTCCAAAGCCCCCAAATCCCAAATCCCAGCTCCTTCTCAGCCCAAAGCACGCCCGGAGCTGACACTGCTCAGAAATCCGCCCCTCCCTGACTCAGACCTTCCTGCAGGTCACTCGCAGCACCCTGGACCACGCCAGGGCTTTTTTTTTTTTTTGGAATTCCATTCCACAGCTCCTCTGGGAATTCCATTCCATCCCTCCTCACCTCACAGGGAATTCCATTCCACAGCTCCTCTGGGAATTCCATTCCATCCCTCCTCACCTCACAGGGAATTCCATTCCACAGCTCCTCTGGGAATTCCATTCCATCCCTCCTCACCTCACAGGGAATTCCATTCCACAGCTCCTCTGGGAATTCCATTCCATCCCTCCTCACCTCACAGGGAATTCCATTCCACAGCTCCTCTGGGAATTCCATTCCATCCCTCCTCACCTCACAGGGAATTCCATTCCACAGCTCCTCTGGGAATTCCATTCCATCCCTCCTCACCTCACAGGGAATTCCATTCCACAGCTCCTCTGGGAATTCCATTCCATCCCTCCTCACCTCACAGGGAATTCCATTCCACAGCTCCTCTGGGAATTCCATTCCATCCCTCCTCACCTCACAGGGAATTCCATTCCACAGCTCCTCTGGGAATTCCATTCCATCCCTCCTCACCTCACAGGGAATTCCATTCCACAGCTCCTCTGGGAATTCCATTCCATCCCTCCTCACCTCACAGGGAATTCCATTCCACAGCTCCTCTGGGAATTCCATTCCATCCCTCCTCACCTCACAGGGAATTCCATTCCACAGCTCCTCTGGGAATTCCATTCCATCCCTCCTCACCTCACAGGGAATTCCATTCCACAGCTCCTCTGGGAATTCCATTCCATCCCTCCTCACCTCACAGGGAATTCCATTCCACAGCTCCTCTGGGAATTCCATTCCATCCCTCCTCACCTCACAGGGAATTCCATTCCACAGCTCCTCTGGGAATTCCATTCCATCCCTCCTCACCTCACAGGGAATTCCATTCCACAGCTCCTCTGGGAATTCCATTCCATCCCTCCTCACCTCACAGGGAATTCCATTCCACAGCTCCTCTGGGAATTCCATTCCATCCCTCCTCACCTCACAGGGAATTCCATTCCACAGCTCCTCTGGGAATTCCATTCCATCCCTCCTCACCTCACAGGGAATTCCATTCCACAGCTCCTCTGGGAATTCCATTCCATCCCTCCTCACCTCACAGGGAATTCCATTCCACAGCTCCTCTGGGAATTCCATTCCATCCCTCCTCACCTCACAGGGAATTCCATTCCACAGCTCCTCTGGGAATTCCATTCCATCCCTCCTCACCTCACAGGGAATTCCATTCCACAGCTCCTCTGGGAATTCCATTCCATCCCTCCTCACCTCACAGGGAATTCCATTCCACAGCTCCTCTGGGAATTCCATTCCATCCCTCCTCACCTCACAGGGAATTCCATTCCACAGCTCCTCTGGGAATTCCATTCCATCCCTCCTCACCTCACAGGGAATTCCATTCCACAGCTCCTCTGGGAATTCCATTCCATCCCTCCTCACCTCACAGGGAATTCCATTCCACAGCTCCTCTGGGAATTCCATTCCATCCCTCCTCACCTCACAGGGAATTCCATTCCACAGCTCCTCTGGGAATTCCATTCCATCCCTCCTCACCTCACAGGGAATTCCATTCCATCCCTCCTCACCTCACAGGGAATTCCATTCCACAGCTCCTCTGGGAATTCCATTCCATCCCTCCTCACCTCACAGGGAGCTCTCTCCCCACCTCCAAACCCGCTCCCTGTCAGTGTGAAGCCATTCCCTCTCGTCCTGGCATTCCTGCAGGAGCTCCCTGCTTGCCCTGCACCCTCAGAGCTCCTCTCCCAGCTCTGGAGCCTTTCCCTGGATCTGCCTCCCAGGCTGCTCCACAGGGAACAGCCCCGGAATTCCAGAGGGGGCAAAGTCCAGGCAGGAGCCAGGGGAGCACCCTGAGCTCTGCCCTGACACAGGGAAAGGTGTGAGCACTGCCCTGGGTTAGAGGAGCGTGGATCTCTGCAGGGAATTCAGCCTGGAATCGTTCACTGAAGTTTATGAGGTGTTTTTGTTTTTTTTTTTTAATAATTAAAAATCACAACTAGACCCTGAGTAAGACCCACACTCCTGGCTGTGCATCCACACTCCTATCTTAACTCCAGCTGAGTTGATTAAATCCAAGTATTTCTACATGTTGAGTCATAAGGAGACAGAGTTTTCTGGCTGCTGCTAGTGGTGGGTTTCTCTTTTTTGATTTTTTTTTTTATTTTTTTTTTCCTCTCCTTTAAATCCTAACTGCAGTTCTGAGTCAGACCCTGCCTGGTTCATTCGGGGAGTTTCGAGGCGAGTTTCCATTTATACAGGAGCTTTTCAAAGCCAAATTTCTGCTTTCCTCCTCCTCCTCCTCACCCCGAAACCATCGAGCACACACTGCCCCGGGGAGAAAATGCAGATCGTGACTAATCACACCCAGGAACCATCATGCGACCGAAGGAAGCCACTTCCAGCACTTCCCCACAGCCTCACCTGGGCTCCAAAGCCCCCAAATCCCAGCTCCTTCTCAGCCCAAAGCACGCCCGGAGCTGACACTGCTCAGAAATCCGCCCCTCCCTGACTCAGACCTTCCTGCAGGTCACTCGCAGCACCCTGGACCACGCCAGGGCTTTTTTTTTTTTTTTTTCCCGAGGCGTTGCTTGTCCCAGAATCCATGGGCTCCCCCCTTTCCCAGCCCCCCCAAAAAAATCCCACAGGGCAGCCCTTTATCCAGACAAACCGGCCCCACAGCCCTGCCCCCATTCCCAGCCCAGGAAAACCACCACATCCTGGACACCCTTCCTTTCCTGCCCCCCTCCAGCCTGAGAAATGTCACCCCCCAGCTTTTTCCAGCCCTAAGCACAAAAAAAACCAGAGCACCTCGAGGCTTCTCTTTCCCACCCCAAAAAATGTCCAGCTTTTATCAAACTTGTCCCTCATCCACACAGGAATCAGTAACAGCCCTCCCCTCAAAACACTGCTCCAAATGCCCCCAACACCAGGTAAAAACCCTCAAAAATCAGCTAAAATCCCCCAAAACCAGGCACAACCCCCCCCAAAACCAGGTACAAATTCCCCCCAAAGCCAGGTAAAAATTCTCTCAAAACCAGGTACAAACTCCAAACTCAACCCTCCTCCAGCCTCCCTGTCCCAATCCCCCAGGAAATGCCCCCCCATTTCTGAACACCCCCCCAAAACCGGCTGCAAGGAGGAACCTGGGCACCGCCACAAGGCTGGGGGTGGGCACTGAGCCCCCCCACACCCCACAGGTGAGGGAGGACCCCCCAAAAGCAGCCCTGCAGGGAGAAGGGACCCCCAGAGCTGCAGGGCAGCGCCACTGTCCCCAGCCAGCCCCCGGGGACCCCCAGAGCACCCCCCAAGCTCAGGAGGGACCCCACAGCTCTGAGCTGCCCCCAAACCCCCAAGTGTCCCCCTAACAAACCCCACAGGCCGGGAATTTCCTCCACAACAGGAAGGACTCCCCGACCCAGCCGCTGGAGCCAGGCGGAGCCTCGTGGACCCCCGAGACCCCCCCAAACGAGCCCTCCAACCCTCAAGCCCACCCCAAACCAACGCCTCGGCCTTCTGCAGCCCCAAGACCCTCCCAAACCGTCCCTCAGGGCACAAAAACCCCTCCAAACCACCCACGAGGGCCTCAGGAGGCTCTGCAGGCCTCAGAGCCGCCCCGAGCAGGGAATCCCCTCCAGACACGCCGAGCAACAGCCGGGATTCCCCCCTTCCCCAGCTCCCGGGGCGGCGGCGCCTCCAGCCTCCCGCGGTGCCCTCCGTTCCCCCGAAGCGCCTCGGTTGCCCCCTCACCCTGGGCATTGAGCGGGCCGGGGGCCGGGCGGGGTCGGGCAGGGTCGCGGGCGGGCGGCGGGGCCCGTGACGGGGCTGGGGCTGCGCTGGGCCCGGTCCGGCCGGAGACACCGAGAGCCCGCGCGCCGCCACACGGCTCCTCGCGCACAGGCCGCGCCCCCCCCTCCCGCCCGCGGCCCCGTGGTACGGCCCGCCCCTCGCACCCACGGCCGGCAACAGTGGTACGGTCCGCCCACACGCGCCCACGCCCCGGGGCAGCGCGCTGGGCGCGTCCATTCGAGGCGTGGGGGGGGAGAAAGAGCAGGGAATGGAGGGCTGCGTGAGGACCTCGCAGCACTTTTCAGCGTCTGGAGTGGCCTCCAAGGAAAGCGGAGGGATCCTTCGTCACGAGCTGCAGTGACAAGATAGGGAACAATAGAGGTTAGGTATGAGGAGGAAATTCTTCCTTGTGAGCGTGGCGAGGCACTGGCACAGGGTGTGGAATGCCCCGAGCCTGGAATTGTTCGAAGCCAGGTTAGATAATACCTTGAGCAACCCGCTCCACGCAGCGAAGAACAGCTCCTTCCATCCCGCTGCTTTTACAGCAACCCCCCCTTATATCCCATGGTACAGGCCTCTTCCCCCCCTCCCCCCTTGGGCATTGGTATAGCCCAGAGGCGGCTCGCCCTGACCGTCCCCAGTCACCCTTGGTACCTCCCGGACTCCCCCGCAGCCCTCCCACACTTGGACCGGCCCTCTGGCCGCACGTGCACACGGAGCCTTCCACGCCAGCATCCACCCCCCCCCCCCCCCCCCTCCCGGCAGCGCAGTGGTACAGCCCGCTCCTCCCCACTGCGGTCAGTGGATCGGTCCTCGCGGGGGTTCCCACGGCTTCCGCGTCCCTGAGCCTGAGGCGGGACCGGGACTTGGGAACTGGAACCGGGATCTGGGAGCATGTTCCTGGGTCAGGAGCACACGGGCTGCCTCCAGCCCCGTCCCCCGGGAGCGCCAGCCCACGGTGGAATCAAGGAGCCCTGGATCCGCTTCCCCGCTGCGTTCCGTGCCCCAGAGCGTGGCTGGGAGCGGGATCCCGGCCGGACACCCCGCAGCTGTGCGGGGACCCGAGGGGACACCCCTGCGACGTGGCCAGGCGTGACGGTGCTTATCAACGCCTGCTTCCCAATCCCAGCTGGAAAAGGGAGGCAGTTCCCGTCCCAGTCCTGCTGGGGTTGTGCCAGAGCTCCCTCAGAGCCGCCGGTCCCAGCTGGGGCCACCAAGTGCCAGGTGGAGCCAGCGCGGTGTCCCCAGCCTCGGGTGACACCTCACAGCTCAGGGAGAGGTGGATGAATAAGGATCCCTTGTTTCCTGCACAGGCTGGAGGAGATGAGTGATTTCCCCAATTGTGCCCTTCCCCCCCCCCGCCCCCCCCCCCCCCCCTCCCGGCAGCGCAGTGGTACAGCCCGCTCCTCCCCACTGCGGTCAGTGGATCGGTCCTCGCGGGGGTTCCCACGGCTTCCGCGTCCCTGAGCCTGAGGCGGGACCGGGACTTGGGAACTGGAACCGGGATCTGGGAGCATGTTCCTGGGTCAGGAGCACACGGGCTGCCTCCAGCCCCGTCCCCCGGGAGCGCCAGCCCACGGTGGAATCAAGGAGCCCTGGATCCGCTTCCCCGCTGCGTTCCGTGCCCCAGAGCGTGGCTGGGAGCGGGATCCCGGCCGGACACCCCGCAGCTGTGCGGGGACCCGAGGGGACACCCCTGCGACGTGGCCAGGCGTGACGGTGCTTATCAACGCCTGCTTCCCAATCCCAGCTGGAAAAGGGAGGCAGTTCCCGTCCCAGTCCTGCTGGGGTTGTGCCAGAGCTCCCTCAGAGCCGCCGGTCCCAGCTGGGGCCACCAAGTGCCAGGTGGAGCCAGCGCGGTGTCCCCAGCCTCGGGTGACACCTCACAGCTCAGGGAGAGGTGGATGAATAAGGATCCCTTGTTTCCTGCACAGGCTGGAGGAGATGAGTGATTTCCCCAATTGTGAAGCTGTTGTCTTCCCATTTCACGTGCTCTGACTGTGGAATTATTAATAGAGGGCCGTGTTTTGTACCGGTTTAAGCTGCTGCAGCGCCTGGAGTGTGTCTGTGCTGGTGAAGTGCTGCCTCCACACACAATAACAGAAACCCCTGCAAAAAGCCTTTTTTGCATTTATAGAATACCTCAAGTTGGAAGGGACCCATAGGGGCGACCAAGTCCGACTCATTGCCCAAACCCATCAACAAAGAAACCCGAAGAATTATCAATGAAGGGGCAAAACTGAGGGTGAGAAAAAAAAGAATCAGCAAACCTTTGTCCCTCAAAATACACAGAGAAGCTGCTCAGTGCCACTTTGCTGGGTTTAATGGCTCTGCAAAGTCATAACTGGAGTCACATAAACTCTGATAATCACAGGCCTTGGGGCTGTTTTCTTTCCTTCTTCAGCACTGCGTGACACCACCTGATAAGAGCAGCTCCGTCCTTCAGGGACACCGAGGGCTCGTCCCCAGAGCGGGCTGTGCCCCACAGGACCGTGAGGGCTTCGCTCCCACAGGGCACTGCCGGACTCTGGAGGCCCAGGGGACACGCTGAGCCCTCACAGCACTACCCCTGTACCTCAGGGCAGCGCTGTGACCCGGGCAGGCCAAAGTCTCGGTGCCATGGCCCGGTGCCGGTTTCCCCCTCAGCCCCTTCCCGCGCCTCATCGCCGCCGCCTGGCGGGAACTCGGAGCGCGCATGCGCCGCACCGCCGGGGCGCAGTCCCGGCAGAGCCGCCGGTTCGAGTCCTGCAGTCGGTGGTTCGCGTGTAGCTGCGGGTTCGAATCCCGCCCGCGCTCCTCATGCCATCATCGGTCCTCTCACAACTTCGATTTTATATATTCTGTTTACTCTTTACTGCGTTCAGCTCTGGGCCCCTCAAAGGCTCGTGAAAGGTCTAAGAAAATGCCTTGTCAGGAGCGGCTGGGGGAGCTGGGTTTAATCTTAAGAGGAGGCTTAAGGGGAACCTCATCACTCTCCACAAGCACCTGCCAAAACCAGGCGCAAAATGCCAGGAGCTTGCGGTGAGGTGGGGCCGGTCTTTTTTACTGTGTGAAGAGTGACCTTACTGAGAGGAAACGGCCTCAAGCTGAGACAGGGCAGATTCACAGCAGGTATTGAGATTTCTTTTGCCGTCCGGGCGGCCAGACATTGGGAGGGGCTGCTTGGGGAGGCGACGGAGTCACCGCATTTAGCGGCGCTACGTGACGCTGCTGAGGGATTCCGGCTGGATGAGTTGTCCTCTTCCCACATGCACGATTCCCTGCCTCCATCGCCCCCCGCTCCCACAGCTCCCCTCACGCCGCCGCTTCCAACACCGGCACCGCGCCATTCCGCCAGGCGCATGCGCGGAGCGCTCCCGCGGCGGATCCCCCCCTCACACACACCACACACACACACACACACACGGAGACACACAAACCACACAGACAGACACACACCACACAGACAGACAGACACCATACAGACAGACACACACACCACACAGACAGACAGACAGACACACACACACACCGGGAGGGGGCGGAGCTTCCGGCGCGGCACTTCCGGCCCGGCCGCTGCGCGGGCGGTGTGGCCGCTGCGCTCCCGCCGCCGTCCCCGGCCCGGCCCCGCTTCCCCTCCCCGGGCACCGCCTCATGCAGCGCCGCGACGACCCCGCCGGTCGTTTGTCTCGAGGACAGGGCCCCGGCGGCCGCGCGCCGCCGCCGCCGCGCCGACCGCCCCGTGGCGGAGGGGCCCGCGGGGCCGCCAGCGGAGCGCAGCCGCCTCCCGGTGGGGCCGCGGCCGGTGGGGCCTCAGGCTCCGGTGGTTCGGGCGGTATGGTTGGCGGTAAGATGGAGCCCGAGAACAAGTACCTGCCCGAGCTGATGGCCGAGAAGGACAGCCTGGACCCGTCCTTCACGCACGCCATGCAGCTCCTCACCGCAGGTACCGGGGCGGGCACGGGCGGGCGGCGGGTCCCGGTGGCCGTTCTGGCTCCGGAGCGAGACGGGGTTAAAATGAGATATTTCCCTGTGTAATCGCGGCTTAATCCGCAGAGTCGCGAGTTTTGCGTGTGTTTTATTGGTGGTTTTATTGTGTTATATTGTGTTGGTTGTGGTGTGGCCTCAGCCAGGCAGGAGAATGAAGAGAATGAAAACCCTTGAGAGAAGCGTTTAATAATTGAAATAAAACGTGACGGTAATGGTAAATACGCTAATAAATAATGATAATTGCGGTGGTCACAATTATAATTTTAAAAAACGGGGTTTTTAGGGATATTATGTTTTTGTAGGATTTGTTTTTCAAGGTTTAGGATGGTGATATGGGTAGTAGTGTGAGATACAGGGTAGGTTTTTAATTATTTTGTGTTGAGGGAGAAACAAGCGATGCCCAGTTCGTCACCAGCCCATCCCCGAGCTCCTTCCAGTTCCTGGGGTGGCAGTGGCAGTCCGGGCGTGGAATGTCCCTTTGGCCCCTTCAGGTGACCTGTCCTGCTTTGGGGACAGCTCCTGTCCTTACTGACAAGGGTTAAACACCGAAATATCGGGTAACGCGATTCCCATAAAACCCCTAAAAACAGCTGTGGGGAAGAAAAGCAGCTCTGTCCTCGGCGAAATCAGGGCAGCTCTTCCACCCCTGGGGACAGAGGAGCTAAAAAAGAACCTTAAAATGGTTCTTTTGTACCGGGCGGGGATTTTTCCCTGCTGGGAGTGCAGAGCTGGGCTGGAAATGGCAGGCTTTGTTCTGAGCCCAGCCGAGCCTTCCTTCCCGGCGCTGCCCAGTCCTGGCGGCTCGGCTTGGTTCGGCTCGGCTGTGCTCGGTCCGGCTCGGCTGTGCTCGGTCCGGCCCGGCTGTGCCCGGCCCGGCTCGGCTGTGCCCGGATCTCCCTCTGCAGCCCCGGCCCGTTCCGCTGCCAAAAACGGGAACCGGTTCAAACATTCCCAACCTCTGTGTGCTGGGAGGCTCCCAGAGCAAGGATCTGCTCAGATTTCATCTCCACCGGTGATTTAAAAAATTATTTATTTTCCACCTGCTTTTAGAATTATAATTATTATCATTATTTCCACCGGTGCTTTCAAAAATTATTTATTTTTCCATCTGCTGCTATTATTATTATTATTATTATTATTATTATTATTATTATTATTATTATTATTAATTTCCACTAGTGCGTTTAAAAATATTTATTTTTTCCACCTGCTCTTAAAATTGTTATCCTCATCATCATAATTATTAATGTTATTATAATTTAATTTTTATTATTTTATTCTTATTTTTATTATTATTTTATTAATAATAATATTACTATCGTTACTATTATTAATAATAGTATTGTTTATTGATTTAATTTTTTAGTTTTTATTGGGATTTTAAATTATATTTATTGGAATATCTAAATTATTTTAATGAATTGAATCATTAAATTTTATTTTAATTGATCAGATTTTAATAATCTATTCAACAATAATTTATTCAATAATTATTTATTTAAGAATACTTTATTTAATTCAATTATTTTTAATTAACAATTTAAAATTATTAATTGGAATTTTAAAAATAATTTCTTTCTCCGCCTGCTCTTTTTTAAATTATTTATTTTGCCGGGGCTTTAAAAAAGCAGAGTTTTGGTGCAGCTCTGGAGCTTTTAGGAGCTTGTTTTATGCAAGGAATAATTCTTGGGAATTGCTGTCTCTCCCATTGTGCAAACAACCCATCACAGCATCACCCACCAGCACCTCGATCTCAATAAATGAGTTTTATAATCCGATTTTCCATCGGTTTAATGATCCTGATTAATGAAATTCTTCAGCCTGCTCGGCTCTGACGCCTCCCAGGAGAAGGAAATCCGAGGAGTTTGCAAATTCCCACCCGAAGAGCAGCATCCTGCAGAGCCTCCTTCACCTGAGGGGGTAACAGGGATTCAGGAGGGGTTTTTAAAAAATTAATTAATTTTTTATTAATTTAATGATTGCAGCTTCGGGAGATTTAAAACTGGAGCAGCTCCAGCCGTGGGTATTTTGAAAATCACTTTTTTTAATTTTTTTTTGGGAGCGTTCCCAGTCCCAGGTCAGGGTGAGCTGAGCAGGAAAACAATGAGGAAGAATTTGAGGTAAAATGGTGGATTTAGGGAATTATTTTTGCCTGGATGAGCCCCAGAGTGCTCAGGATTCCTTGGAATTTCAGCTCTGTGATGCACAGAGCCTGCACAACTCCACCAAAATGATTTCCAGGCCCAGGGATGATCCTGGGTGTCAGCAGGATTTTTATTCCAGCCTTTTTTTCCTTCCCAGAAGTGGAAGTTGCTCCGGCTGCCTGCCTCAGGGAGGGAGCCCTGCTGGAATTCTGCGTTCATTTCTTTTAAACAACATCAAGTTGTCGAAAATACTGTGGTGGTTTTTTATTTTTAAAGAGATATTTAAATTTTTTTTGGCTTTTCTTGGGAGCAAAGGCCTGGCAGTGAAGGGATTCTTATTAATTCCATGGACTCTGGTATGGAAGTGGCTGCACTGAGGGTTCTGTTATCCTAAAGAGAAACTGAAAATTGGGATTTCTTTTATTTTCAAATATAATCCACATTTCCCTCCTGGCATTTGGGGTCTGTGTGACCTTCCTTTTCCATAGGAACAAGAAAATCCTTTTTTTTTTCTTTGTGTTTATGCTGTGGAAAGAGCAGGGGAGGTGTGAAGTGCACAGCCCTCTCTGCTTCCCTGCTTTGGGAAAAGGGAGATATCCCACATCCCACCTGTGTGTCAGCCAGCTGTGGGGTTTTGGGATTTTTTAGGAATTCTAGCCGGTTTTATTTCATGGAGAAACTCCACGGGAAAAGAGCTGAGCTTCCCAAGGATGTGTGAGCTGTGGCATTCCAGGAGGGGTGGGAATGGGGGCAGGAAGGAGCAGCTGGAGGTGCTGGGGGACTCCCCCACGGAATTCCCTGCTGGATTCAGGCCAGATCCAGGCTGTGCATCCCTGGAATGGGGAAGGGCTGGGTGGGAATGTCCCACGGGTGGGTGGTGGCTCCTGGGAACCAAGCAGGGATTATTGGAGAGGGCTGAGGTCGCTGGAGGTGAGAGGGGTCACCCTGAGGCTGGTTCCACGTGCAGTCCAGGCTCTCCTGACAGAGATTCCCTCAATTCCTGTCCTTCCAATGGATATCCTGCCCCCAGGCTGCCGCCTGGAACTGTCCCCTGCTCTCTCAGGCTGGGTTGTTCTGGAATCATTTCACTTTGCACTTCTCAACTTCTGTTTTGTTCAGCCATGGCAATGTTCTCAACTGCTGGCACCGCTGTGGCCATTCCCATTCCTGCTCCTGTGGCCATTCCCAGAGCTGTGGCCATTCCCATTCCTGCTCCTGTGGCCATTCCCATTCCCAGAGCTGTGGCCATTCCCATTCCTGCTCCTGTGGCCATTCCCATTCCTGCTCCTGTGGCCATTCCCATTCCCAGAGCTGTGGCCATTCCCATTCCCAGAGCTGTGGCCATTCCCATTCCTGCTCCTGTGGCCATTCCCATTCCTGCTCCTGTGGCCATTCCCATTCCCACCTTTGTGGCCATTCCCGCCTCAGTGGCCATTCCCATTCCCACCTCAGTGGCCATTCCCATTCCCACCTCAGTGGCCATTCCTGCTGCCGTGGCCATTCCCATTCCCGCTGCCATCCCAGGAGTTTCTCCCCCCTGTGCCACATCCCAAATCTCACCTTTCCCTCCCCGTGCCCCTTCTCCTGGCAGTGCCCTTCCTTCCCAGCAGAGCTGCCTGCCCAGGAGTGCCAGGCTGGAATCCCACGCTGGGGATGTATTTTGGGGTGGGAAACAGTGGGATTAGGATTGCCAAATTCTTGGAATCTGGCTGGGAACTGCTTCCCCTTCCTGAGAAAAACCATCTGGGCAGCAGTGAAGGATGGAGGAGGCTCTGCTTTCCTCAGAGGTGCCACCCAAAAATTCTTTGGAGTTTGGGGTTTTTTTAGGGATCATTCTACTTGACTTTCCAGGTGACATTTTCATTCTGACAAACCAGTGTTCTCCCAGAGCCCAGCTGAGCTGCAGGCCAGCATTTCCATGGATTTTGATTCTTAAGGAATAGCTCAGGAGCAGCAGCAGCATTGCCAACCCTTTACCTGCCCCTTGGGAATCCTGCTGAGCCCATCCCTGCCCCTCAGGAATCCCTGGAAAAGCTGCCAGCTGCTGACGTTCCCCGTGGCAAGCAGGGAACCTGCTCCCAAAAATCCTCTGGAGTGGGAAGGTGTGGACACCTTGGCCCCGCCGGGTGTCCCACAGCTGCTCCTGGTGTCACATCCAGGGCACCGCCGCCGGGATTTTATCCTTCCTCACCTCCTTCCAGGCTCTCCTTGGGTCTGGGGCTGCTTGGAATTCCCAGAGCTAGGAATTCCCAGAGCTTGGAATTCCCAGATCCTGGATTTCTCAAAGTTTGGAATTCCCAAAGTTTTGAATTCTCAGTGCCTGGAATTCCCAGAGCTTGGAATTCCCAAAAGTTTGGAATTCCCAGATCCTGGAATTCCCAAAGTTTGGAATTCCCAGAGCTTATAATTCCCAGAGTTTGGAATTCCCAGATCTTGGAATTCCCAAAAGTTTGGAATTCCCAGAGCCTGGAATTCCCAAAGCTTGGAATTTCCAGAGTTTGGCATTCCCAGAGCTTGGAATTCCCGAAGTTTGGAATTCCCAGAGCCTGGAATTCTCAGAGCTTAGAATTTCCAGAGTTTGGAATTCCCAGAGCCTGGAATTCCCAAAGCTTGGAATTTCCAGAGTTTGGCATTCCCAGAGCTTGGAATTCCCAGATCCTGGATTTCCCAAAGTTTGGAATTCCCAAAGTTTTGAATTCTCAGTGCCTGGAATTCCCAGAGTTTGGAATTCCCAAAAGTTTGGAATTCCCAGATCCTGGAATTCCCAAAGTTTGGAATTCCCAGAGCTTATAATTCCCAGAGTTTGGAATTCCCAGAGCCTGGAATTCCCAAAGCTTGGAATTTCCAGAGTTTGGCATTCCCAGAGCCTGTATTTTCCAGAGCCTGGATTTCCCAGATCTTGCAATTCCCAAAGTTTGCAATTCTCAAAGTTTGGAATTCCCAGAGCCTGGAATTCTCAGAGCTTAGAATTTCCAGAGTTTGGAATTCCCAGAGCCTGGATTTCCCAGATCTTAGAATTCCCAAAGCTTGGATTTCCCAAAGTTTGGAATTCCCAGAGCTTGGAATTGCTGAAGTATGGATTTCCCATATCCTGGAATTCCCAGAGTTTGGAATCCCTCTGCTCCTTCTCCTCCCTTACATTCTGTGTTCCGTTCCAAGGCGCGGAGCTGCTGCTGCTTTTTTGAATTTTGTTTTCTTTCCATCAATCTCTGAATTCCCTCCCAGCCCAATCCCAGCTGTTCCCGCAGCTGTGGCAGCAGGCAGGGATGGATTTTCCTTCCTGTGAACTGGGAATTTCTGGTTTGCAGAGCTTCCCAGCCAGCCCCGGGCTGTTTTCAGGAGGCAGAAAATCCCCGTGTTTAATTTCATTTTAATCTTTGAATTTAACAGGAATTAATTCCTGTTTCGTTCAGTTTTATCAAGGGGGTTTGAGGGTGTTTTTATTCTGGATGTGTGTGTAAAAAACACTTCTTGTTTGTCTGCAGGATGCGTTTTCACAAATGTTTTCAGAAATTCAATTTACAAGCCTTGGGAAGTGTCTTTCCCTAGGAAAATGCTCAGAAATTCCATTTACAAGCCTTGGGAAGTGTCTTTCCCTAGGAAAAGGCTCAGAAATTCAATTTACAAGCCTTGGGAAGTGTCTCTTTCCTTTGGAAAATGCTCAGAAATTCCATTTACAGGCCTTGGGAAGTGTCTCCTTCCCTAGGAAAATGCTCAGAAATTCAATTTACAAGCCTTGGGAAGTGTCTCTTTCCTTTGGAAAATGCTCAGAAATTCAATTTACAAGCCTTGGGTTTGTTGGTGAAATGGCACAATTTGATTTTTCACCTCTCCTGATAAAGAGCCTGAAATCAAGATTTGGGATTGATATTTATGATGTGATTTATTATGATTTATTATGATTTATTATGATCAATTTGGGTTTTTTTTCTGTTGGACCAAAGGATCAGCAGTAATTTGGGGTTGTTAACAATGGATTGACTCCAAACTTGGGGGAATTTCTCATGGATTTGTTGGCCTTGAAATAAAAATTGTGATTTTATTATCCCTGAAAAGGGAAATTCGGGGGAAAATGGAATTATTAACTCGGAAATGCCTGGAGAGGATTTTCCATCTCCTGTGAAATCTGAATTTCCAGCAGGTCTGGGTCTGCCAGTCCCTAATTAATTTCCCTTAATGACCTCATTCCAGCAGGTAATTGGGGCTGTCCCAGGCCACCTCACTGGGGTTTTAAAACTCATTTTTAATTCACCACAAGCAATGAAAAAAGCAAAAAAAAATCTTAATTTTGGGAGATGAAATATTTGGAGTTGTGTTGCTGAATTAAGAATTTTTGGGACTCGATTTTATGGCTGCAAACCTGAGGGTTTAAAACCCACTTAGGAATGGTTTGGGTGATAAATCTGAATTTATTTAGTGAAATGAAGCTGGGAGAATTTCCTAACCCACACCACACTGGGCTAGGAAATAACAAAAAAATAAAATTTTAATTTAAAAATTAAATCAAATATTTAATATTAAATAATAAATTAAAAACTGGTGTTTCTATTCCAAACAAAAATTTTAAATTACATAAAAATATTAAATCAAATACTAAATTAAATATTAAATAATAAATTAAAAACTGGTGTTTCTATTCCAAACAATTCCATTCCAAATCCCACTATTCCAATGCTATTTATTGGGAATATTTTCAACTTTATCAAAACTCATCTGCCTGGAGGTGTTGCCACCACTAATTAAAGGGCAGATTTTAAATAAATGTGAGTTGGGTGATAAAAAAATTGCAGATTTCTGTCCCAATTTAGCAAAAAAAAATTAAAATTTTATGTATTTTGGGCTGGTTTCTTTGCAGATTTAAGGGAAGGCAGAGGAATTTCCTTCTGGTATTTGTAGGGTTTTGTTCTTGTGATTCCATCTCTGAGCTGATGATTGTTAAAGGAAAATATAAAGCAGCCCTATTTTTATATTATTATTTATATTTATCTTATTAATAATTATATATATAGTTTACTTACATTTCTAATATTATATTTATATTATTTTATATGATTGTTTATATCTTATATTAATTTTTTGTATTATTATTGATAATTCTATTATTTATATTCCTATTTATAATAATATATTTCTATTATTTTATTTTTCTATTATTATATATTTATTATTATATATTTATTATTATTATATATTTATTATTATTATATATTTCTATTATTATATATTTCTATTATTATTATATCATTTTCTTTTTATTTAGAAATTGAAAAAATTCAGAAGGGTGAGACAACAAAAAAGGATGAAGAAGAGAACTACCTGGATTTATTTTCCCACAAGAATATGAAACTGAAGGAACGAGTTCTGATCCCTGTCAAGCAGTACCCCAAGGTGAGGCCAGAAAAAATCACAAAATCCCAGAGATTTTCTTCTTTTCTGTGGGATTTTCTGGCTGCCAAAGGGGCAGCAGGAGTTAAATCTGCTTTTTCAACCAAAATCCAAGAGATTTCTTTCGAAAAGTAAGAAGTTGTTTGGGTTTTTCTCCAGGCCTGCAGGGATTTTATTTCTAATATATTGAATTTTTTGGAATATCGCGGGGTAAGTGGTGCTGCAGAGCTGGGATCTTGGGTTCTGGAACAGACAATTCCATGGGTGCAGCTTTTTTTGCATTTTTTTACATTTAATTCCTTAAAGGTTTGCTGGAAAGCTGCTGCAGATGTTGGGATTGAACCACTTAATTTAGCTTGGTTTTTCTGCCTGAGCATTTGTTTTTTCATTAAAAGAAAGGTTAGAAACTTGAATTTTCCTCTTGAAACTTGGATTTTCCTCTTGAAACTTGAATTTTCCTTTTGAAACTTGAATTTTCCTCTTGAAACTTGAATTTTTCTTTTGAAACTTGAATTTTTCTTTTGAAGCTTGGATTTTCCTCTTGAAGCTTGAGTTTTCCTTTTGAAACTTGAGTTTTCTTCTTGAAATTTGAATTTTCTTTTCAAAACTTGAGTTTTCCTTTTGAAGCTTGAATTAATTTTGAGTTTTCCTTTTGAAACCTGAATTTTCCTTTTGAAACCTGAATTTTCCTTTTGAAACCTGAATTTTCCTTTTGAAACCTGAATTTTTCTTTTGAAACCTGAATTTTCTTTTCAAAACTTGAATTTTTCCTTTGAAGTTTGAATTTTCCTTTTGAAACCTGAATTTTCTTTTCAAAACTTGAATTTTTCCTTTGAAGTTTGAATTTTCCTTTAGAAACCTGAATTTTCCTTTTGAAACCTGAATTTTCCTTTAGAAACCTGAATTTTCCTTTTGAAACCTGAATTTTCCTTTCAAAACTTGGACTTTCTTTTCGAAACTTAAATCTTCTCTTCAAATCTTAAATTCTCCTTTCAAAACTTAAATTTTCCTGTGCATTTTTTTGCTTAAATGAGGAAAAAATTAAATGTGATTTTTTTTTTTTAAATCAACTGACACAACATTAAAAAAAAAAAAAATTATTGACATTTTTAAGCTCTGGAGCTGATTTATTTTGGTTTTTTTTTTCCTTAATTTCCAGTTCAACTTTGTTGGGAAGATTTTGGGACCCCAAGGCAACACCATTAAGAGACTTCAGGAAGAAACTGGTGCTAAAATCTCTGTACTGGGGAAAGGTTCCATGAGGGACAAAGCCAAGGTAAGGGAGAACAAAATTCCATTTAAGGGTGACAATTAGCAGCTCTCCAAGCATTTTATTAAAAATTAAACAAGAAAAATCTTTAATTAAATATGAATTTAAAAGCTGATAAAATAAGGATTATTCTCCTGAAGGGACATTCACTAAAGGGATATTTTTCTTCTCTGTAAAAAGATAAAAATCTCTTTTTTTAGCTGCTCTAAAATATTTAAATTCTTCTGGTTCAGTGGAAATGTTGGAGCAATGTGTTCCTGATAATTTTTGGTCACAAAAAATTTGAATAATTTTGAATCCCAAAGTACCAGAAGGGGTTTTTAAACAGCAAAAAAATATGAAAAAAATAGGAAAAATATTCTTTTTATTTCTTCTTGCTTATTTTGGGCAGAGCTGTAGCTTAATTCTGATTTTAATTTTATTTATTGATTTTAATTCTTGAGCAGCACAAAAAGTTTTATACTTTCAGCTTCTTTGTAACTTCTTAAATAACTGCAAAACAGCCTGAGAAACAGAAATATCTTCAAGATATCTTGAAAAAAAAAAATTGTACACACAGTTGTACAAAATCATGGAAGCTTCCTATAAAATTTAAAAATTCTTTACAAATTCCATTTTTTATCATTCTGCTGGGTTTTTTCTGTAGGAGGGAGAGCTCTGCAAAAGGTGGGGGTGGGAATCCCAAATCAAAATAAAATCAAAATAAAATAAAAACAAAAATAAAATTAAAATTAAATAAAAGTAAAATAATTCTGCTGGGGCTTTTAGCAGGAGGAGGAGCTCCATAAAGGGGGGGATCCCAAATAAAAATCAAATTTAAAAAATAATAAAATTAAAATGAAAATAAAATAATTCCGCTGGGTTTTTTTGCAGGATGAGGAGCTCTACAAAGGGGGAGATCCCAAATTAAAATTAAAATAAAATAATTCTGCTGGGTTTTTTGCGGGAGGAGGAGCTCTACAAAGGGGGAGATCCCAAATAAAAATTAAAATTAAAATAAAATAAAATAATTCTGCTGGGTTTTTTTGCGGGAGGAGGAGCTTTGCAAAGGGAGGGGATCCCAAATAAAAATAAAACAAAATAAAAATAAAATAAAATAATTCTGGGTTTTCTGCAGGAGGAGGAGCTCCGTAAAGAGGGGGATCCCAAATAAAAAATAATGTAAAATAAAATAATTCCGTGCGTTTTTTCAGGAGGAGGAGCTGCGCAAAGGGGGGTGTCCCAAATAAAAATTAAAATAAAATAAACTAAAATAATTCTGGGTTTTCTGCAGGAGGAGGAGCTGTGCAAGGGCGGGGATCCCAAATAAAAATTAAAATAAAACTAAAATAATTCTGTTTTTTTTCAGGAGGAGGAGCTCTACAAAGGGGGTATCCCAAATAAAAATAAAAATAAAATAAAATAATTTGGTTTTTCTTCAGGAGGAGGAGCTGCGCAAGGGCGGGGATCCCAAATAAAAATTAAAATAAAATAAACTAAAATAATTGTTTTTTCCAGGAGGAGGAGCTGCGCAAGGGCGGGGATCCCAAGTAAAAATAAAAATTAAATAAAAATAAAATAAAATAATTTGGTTTTTCTTCAGGAGGAGGAGCTGCGCAAGGGCGGGGATCCCAAGTACGCCCACCTCAACATGGACCTGCACGTTTTCATCGAGGTCTTCGGGCCCCCCTGCGAGGCCTACGCCCTCATGGCCCACGCCATGGAGGAGGTCAAGAAATTCCTGGTCCCTGTGAGTTCCCTGCTCCTTGAAGGAGTCTCTCCCAAAATTAAAATTCAAATGAAAATTGGTTCTTAAATTAGGGAAAGAAACGGGGAAGTTCAGACATCTGGAGGGAGATCAGCACTGGGATCTCCAGGAGGCTCTGGGATGGTTCTGGGAGCACTGGGATGGTTTTGGGATCTCCAGGGAGCTCTGGGATGATGCTGGGATGGTTTTGGGATCTCCAGGGAGCTCTGGGATGATGCTGGGATCTCTGGGATGGTTTTGGGATCTCCAGGGAGCTCTGGGATGGTTCAGGAATCAGTGGGATAGTTTTGGGATCTCCAAGGAGCTCTGAGATGGTTTTGGGATCTCCAGGGGGCACTGGGATGGTGCTAGGATCTCCAGGGATCACTGGGATGGTGCTGGGATCTCCAGGAGGTTCTGGGATGGTTCAGGAATCACTGGGATGGTTTTGGGATCTCCAGGGAGCCCTGGGATGGTGCTGGGATCTCCAGGAGGTTCTGGGATGGTTCAGAAATCACTGGGATGGTTTTGGGATCTCCAGGGAGCTCTGGGATGGTGCTGGGATCTCCAGGAGGTTCTGGGATGGTTCAGGAATCACTGGGATGGTTTTGGGACCTCCAGGAAGCTCTGGGGTGACTCAGGAATCACTGGGGTGCTTCTGGAATCTCCAGGGAGCTCTGGGATGGCTCTGGGTGATCTCCTCTGGCCCTTTAGTCCCCAAGGAAGGATCTGCAAGGACCTGCCAGGCACAGTCTGCATCCCTCAGGATTTGAAAAGCCAGCCTGGCTTTGGAAGGGGCCCTTTGGGATGGGAACACTGCAGGGTTCCCTCCTGTGGGCTCACTGCCCCTGTAGACAGGAGCTGTGGGCTCAGACCTGCCTGGGCTCTCCCCCATGGATCCTCCTGGCATCCCTGGCATTGTGGGAACATCTCCTGGAGGTGCAGGGCTGGAATCTTGGAGAAAGCTGCAGCAAATCCCAGAAAAACCAGATTTTATTGAGGTCCATGCAGTCATTTCATCCCAGCACAGCAGCCTGTGACATCCCAGAGCTGTTCTCTGGAGCTGACCCTTTATATCCTTATTGATCCTTATTTTTATCCTTATTTCTGTCCTTCCTGCAGGACATGATGGATGATATCTGCCAGGAGCAGTTCCTGGAGCTCTCCTATCTCAACGGGGTCCCGGAGCCCAGCCGCGGCCGAGGCGTCCCCGGGCGGGGCCGGGGGGCAGCCCCACCTCCCCCTCCCCCTGTGCCAAGGTATTCCCAAAATCCCAGCCCTGGCAATGCTGCCTTTCACCCACAGCTGAGCTCTCAGAGGGGTTAAGCTGCTGCTTGGCTAGGCCTGGCTTGGGGGATTCTGGCTCCGTGTTTGGGGTGTCATCCGACACGGGGGGGATTTGGGATGGGTTTAAACAATGGTTTCATGAATGGTTTTATAAATGGTTTCATAAATGGTTTGATGAACATCTCAGAAACGGGCCTGGCTGGTGATGGAAGGGCTGTAACCCCTCAGCATTCTCAGTCTGAAATTCCCATCCTCTCAGTTTGAATTCCCACCTCTGGGGTGGCATCTTTCTGGCAAAGCTTGGGGATAAATTGGCACTAAAACTGTTGCCTCACTCCCTGATCCATGGGCTGGTGCTTTTCCTGCTGCCTGCAGTGTCCCTGCCCATGTCCTCAGTGATCCTGAGGGATCTGGGGTGATCCAGGTGGGTGGGAGGGTCCTTTGGAGTGAAATTCCCTGCCCAAAGTTCTGTATCAGATTTATTTCTTTGTCTGTCTACAGCTATTTTATCCTCACAAACCCTGAGCCTGACTCTAGATCTGCTCAAAAATTGGATTTAAGTGTCACAAGGAGCCTCTCCTTGGCTCTGTGAGCCAGTTTGACTCAGTAGGCAAAGCTTAGCTAATCTAAATTGTGTACAGCTCCCAGCTTAGGCTGGGCTGAAAACCAAAATTCGGTGATTTACCCCCAAAGGGCAACCAAGCCTCACTCTCACCCCTCCCCACTCATGGGATGGGGAGAGAATTGAAAGGGTAAAAGTGAGGGAATGAATGGGCTGGGATAAAGTTCAGCAGGAAAAGCAAAGTAAACCAAGGAATTCACTCCCTGCTTCCTTGGGAAGGCATTCCAAAGGTGCCCCTCTACTTATTTAGCTTTTCACCCAAACCAGCAGAATTCTCCCCCAGAGGAGGGTTCAGTGCCTCTCCCAGCACAACAATTCTCATTTCTGTGCCAATCCACAATTCCCAGCTCTGTTATTTTTTTGTCACTACTGACAGTCCCCATCCTGGGGCTCTCCAGAGCAGCAGCTCCTGCCTGTCGCAGACATATTTCATGAAAAATGTTTTTGTCAGGATCTTTTCTGCTGAGAAGCTGGGATGCTTCATCTTCTCCATGTTTTACTGCTTTGGAATGTGATTTGGGGAATTGTTTACCCAGCACGTGAAATAGTTTTTATTTGATGACCAATGCCAGCCACCTGTGTCGAGGCTGTGAGCAGTCACAATATTTTGTTATTCATTCATTTCTTTTCTTTTCCAACCTTCTGATGGATCCTTTCTCTCTTTTCTTTTTAGTATAGTTTTAGTATAACATTTTAATATAATATAATATGATATAGATATATGATATATATAGTATGATATGATATAATATATATGATATCATATAGTATAATATAATGTAATACATATTATATGATATATAATATGATAGGATACAATATAATGCAATATTATAAATATAATATTATAGTGATTAATAGGATATCATATGATACAATCTAATGCAATATAACATAATCATGTATATTATAATTATATATAATATTATATAACATAACATAATATATAATTAGTATAATATAATATAACGTTACATAATATAGCATAATATAATACAGTAAAGTTTAATATAATATAATATATATAATGTAATATCATATAATGTAATATAGCATAATATAATATAACATTACATAATATAACTTTACATAATATAACATAACATAGTAAATAATAATATAGTATTAACATAACATAGCAAATAATAATATAGTATTAAGTATAATATAATATAACATAGTATAATATAATATGGTAAATATAGTGTAGTATGATATGATATAATATGATATGATATCATATGATATTATGCATAATATAATATATGGTGTAATATAATATATGATGTACTATGATATGATATAATTTAATATTATACATAATATGATACATAATATGATATATAATATAGTATAATATGATATATAATATAGTATAATATGATATATAATATAGTATAATATGATACATAATATAGTATATGATGTCATATGATATGATATAATATGATACATAATACTATATATAATATAATATATAATATAATACAGTGTATAATATGATACATAATTTAGTATATGATGTAATATGATATAATATGATATAATATGATACATACTATTATATATCATACAATATATAATACAATATGGTGTAGTATAATATGACACATAATATGTAATGTAATACACCCACCTTCGAACCATGAAGTGAGGTCTCTCTGTGCCCTCCTGGCCCCCGAGCCCACCCTGACAGCGCTTTCTGTGTCCCCGCAGGGGCCGCGGGGTCGGTCCCCCCCCTCCTCCTCCCCCCCCGCGGGGGGCGCTGGTGCGGGGGGCCGCGGTGCGCGGGGCCATGGCGCGGGGGGCCGCGCTGGTCACCAGGGATCAGTGGGATGGGGCTGGGATCACCAGGGATCAGTGGGATGGGGCTGGGATCACCAGGGATCAGTGGGATGGGGCTGGGGTCACCAGGGATCAGTGGGATGGGGCTGGGGTCACCAGGGATCAGTGGGATGGGGCTGGGATCACCAGGGATCAGTGGGATGGGGCTGGGATCACCAAGGACTGCTGGGAATGGTGTTGGGATCCCACTGACTCCTGATTCTGGGATCACCAGGGTCCCCTGGGATGGTGCTGGGATCACCAAGGACTCCTTGGAAAGGTGCTGGGGTCACCAGGGATGAGTGGGATGGTGATGGGGCTGGGATCACCAGGGATCTGTGGGATGGGGCTGGAATCACCAAGGACTGCTGGGAATGGTGTTGGGATCCCACTGATCCTGGGATCACCAGGGTCCCCTGGGATGGTGCTGGGATCACCAGAGCCTTTGGGATGGCTCTGGGATCACCAGGAGCCTTTGGGATGGCTCTGGGATCACCAGGAGCCTTTGGGATGGCTCTGGGATCACCAGGAGCCTTTGGGATGGTGCTGAGATCACCAGGGATCACTGGGATGGTGCTGGGATCATCACAAGTACTGATACACCTGAACTTTTGGGGTTTTTTTTTCTCAGCAAAATGGGTTTTTTTCACTGAAGAATTCAGAGGTTGGGGGTTGTAAATGTGTGGTTTGGATGAGACAGAACTATGGAATATCCTGGATCACCCAGCCCAGCTCCTGGCCCTGCACAGACACCCCAAAATCCCACCCTGTGCATCCCAGGGAGCATTATCCTGCAGCTCCAGGGAGCCTGTCCAGTGCCCAGCCCCCTCTGGAGATAAAACCTTTCCCTGATAACAATCCCAGCTCTCCTGGCACACGGATTTATCCCTGGACATGGAACAATTCCTAAATACGAGCGTGGCTCACCCCTGCCAGCCCCGGGGCTCCCTCTGTGCTGTGCCTGAGCCCTTTCCCTGTGGCAGGCCAGGATTTCCAGGCTCTGCCATCTGCTGTGGGTTGGATTTGGTTCCTTTTTGGCCCTTTTGTGACACTTTTTTGTCCCCATCCCCGCAGGGCTACGACGACACGTACGCAGAGCAGAGCTACGAGGGCTACGAGGGCTACTACAGCCAGGGCCAAGGGTGAGTGGGATTCCCTCTTCCCAAAGGAATGCTGCATGGCCTTTTCCCCCTTTTTTCCCCTTTTTTGAATCCCATTTGAAGCCAATGGAAACATTCCTGAGCTCTGCTGGAATCCAGGACTAGGAGCATCTTCTCTTTTCCTGGTTTTTTGTGGCAGCGTGGGAATGGGATTTCCCTGTGTGTAACCACCTCGTTGCTTTTGCAGGGATACAGAATATTATGATTATGGACATGGGGAGGCACAGGAAACCTATGAAGCTTATGGTATGTTTGGGAATTCTGGGATAAGGAAGGGGTTGGGAATTGCTTGTGGTCAATTTTCCTGGTTTTCAATGTCTGGATAAAAAACTGAGGAGAACCTCGTGGTGTTTTTATTTAGGTCTGAACAACCTCTCTGTGGGTTTAGGTTGGTCTCAATGGTGATGCTTTTAAAAAAATCCATTTTTTAATCTCTGGAAATGTTTTAATTTCCTTGTAGCTTTAGAATATTTCAGGAGGTCTGGATTCCACCCACAGCACTTGTCTGGTTTTCATGGGCTGGGTTTTATATGGTTCCATCTGCTTCCTTTATCCTCACAAACCCTGAGCCTGACTCTGGGCTGTAAATCTGCTCAAAAACTGGATTTAAGTGTCATGAGGAGCCTCTCCTTGGCTCTGTGGAGCCAGTTTGACTCAGTAGGCAAAGCTTAGCTAATCTGAATTATGTACAACTCTCAATTTAGGCTGGGCTGAGCCAAAATTTGGTGATTTAACCCCAAAGGGCAACCACACCCCAATTTCACTCCCCACCCATGGGACAGGGAGAGAACTGCGAGGGTAAAAGTGAGGGAATGAATGGGCTGGGATAAAGTTCAGCAGGAAAAGCAAAGTAAACCAAGGAATTCACTCCCTGCTTCCTTGGGAAGGCATTCCAGAGGTCCCTCCCTGCCTCCTGCTGCCCTCAGCTGTGGCTGCATTTATTTCTGAAGGCAGTTCCCATGGCCAGGCTTGGAATGGCATCTGGCTGTGGCAATGAGAAGGAATCATTGTCCCCTGTCCCCAGAGCAGCCTGGGCTGGGCCAGGGTTCATTTTCCTCCCCAGGGCTGCTCTGGGACTGACTCTGGATTTGTGCTGAGCCAGAGGAGTTTTGTTGTTGCTGGGCAGGGTTTAGACAAATTCCCAAAGCTGCCCTTAAAGGTGTGGAATTCCGTGTGGCTGGAACAGTCCCTTGTGCAGGTGGTGACATTCCTGACCAGCTGGAGATCTCTGGAAGCTGGGAATTCATGTCCTGGCAGAATTAGGGAAGCAGAGTTGTTGTCTCCTGCTCACCCTGCTCCAGGCTTAAATCCAAATCCAGGAGCCTTGGGGTGTTCCCTGCTCCAGGTTTAACCCCAAACCCAGGAGCATTGAGGCATTCCCTGCTCCAGGTTTAACCCCAAACCCAGGAGCATTGAGGCATTCCCTGCTCCAGGTTTAACCCCAAACCCAGGAGCATTGAGGCTTTCCCTGCTTCAGGTTTAATCCCAAACCCAGGAGTTCAGGGTGTTCCCTGCTCCAGGTCTAACCCCAAACCCAGGAGCTCAGGGTGTTCCCTGCTCCAGGTGTGACCCCAAACCCAGGAGCTCAGGGCTTTCCCTGCTCCAGGTCTGACCCCAAACCCAGGAGCCTCAGGGTGTTCCCTACTCCAGGTTTAACCCCAAACCAGGAGCCTGCCAGGATGTTTCCATCCAGCTGCTCCCAGGAGCTGCTGGCTGTTCCCTGGGTTTGCTGAGCCCGTGTCACCCTGAGCACAAAGAGCTTTTTGTGCCTCCTGCTCCCTCAGAGCCCACAGTGCCCCTTGGACACTTGGCTCAGTTAATCTGATCTGTTTATCCACTGGTTTTTTTTTATTCCCTCTGGTCTCTGCTTCCCTGAGAAAAGAATTAGGGGATAAATCCCCAAGGTGGGCTGGGGGTGGGTGGAGGGAAGGTTTGGGGAGGCTGGGTTTCAGATCTGGCAGGGACAGCTCACAGGGGTGGCTGTCACAAGCAAACTCTGCTTTTTTTCATGGAATTCTGGAGTGGTTTGGGGTGAAAAGGGCCTTAAAGGTCCTTTAAATCATCCCCTGCCATGGCCACCCTCCAGTGGCCCAGCAGGGTTGGGGTGTGCTGTGTCCTGGTACTGTGCAGCGCTGGCAGCTGGAGCTGGATCTCCCGAGGGCTGCTGGTGGAGCTGGTTTTGGGGATCAGGAGCTGGTTGTGGGGATCAGGAGGTGTTTTGGGGATCAGGAGCTGGTTTTGGGGATCAGGAGGTGTTTGGGGGATCAGGAGCTGTTTTTGGGGATCAGGAGCTGGTTGTGGGGATCAGGAGGTGTTTTGGGGATCAGGAGCTGGTTTTGGGGACCAGGAGCTGGTTTTGGGGATCAGGAGCAGTTTTTGGAGAGCTGGTTTCGGGGGATCAGGACCTGTTTTGAGCAGCTGTTTTTGGGGGATCAGGACCTGTTTTGGGGAGTTGTTTTTGGGATATCAGTACCTGTTTTGAGCAGCTGTTTTTGGGGGATCAGGACCTATTCCTGTTTTGAGCAGCTGTTTTTGGGGGATCAGTACCTGTTTTGGGGAGCTGTTTTTGGGATATCAGGACCTGTTTTGAGCAGCTGTTTTTGGGGGATCAGGACCTATTCTGAGCAGCTGTTTTTGGGGGATCAGGACCTGTTTTGAGCAGCTGTTTTTGGGGGATCAGTACCTGTTTTGAGCAGCTGTTTTTGGGATATCAGGACCTGTTTTGAGCAGCTGTTTTTGGGGGATCAGGACCTATTTTGAGCAGCTGCTTTGAGCACCTCTTCTGCCCCATCCCATCCCACACTTCACCACCTCCCAGCCCATTTTCATCCCCATCCCTCCCCTCCTCCCTCCTCCCATTCCTGACTTTTTCTCCTTTTCCCCACAGGCCAAGATGACTGGAATGGAACCCGGCCCTCCCTGAAGGCCCCCCCAGCCCGGCCAGTCAAGGGGGGCTACAGAGAGCACCCCTACGGCCGCTACTAACCCCAAAAATGGGGCAAAAATCCCAATTTAGGAGCAAACACTTGTTACTGGTTCTTGTATCTCCCGGGATTCCCGTTGCTTTACCCACAGCAGACAAGTAATTGTCTCCCTGTTTTTCTTCCTGGCCCTTTTTTTCCTTCCCACTCCATCCTCACCTTGCATTTTGGCTTCTGTATGTAGTGATTTCTTGAGATAAATTTAAATAGATTTAGAGGGGGAAAAACTTTTTAATTTTTATTATTTTTATTTTTTTTTCCCTTCGGTGTGTAGATGGCTTTTCTTTCTTTGTCGTTTTAGGTAAAAAAAAAAAACAAAACAAACTGTACCTTTTTTTAAGGAAAAAAAAGACAAAAAAAAACCACACAACTAAAAAGCAAGTTTAAAAAAAATGTTAGTTTCCAAAAGTGACATGCTTTGCTTAGTTCTGAAATTAAGGTTTTGTTAAAACTTTTAAAGTTTGTTTTAAAGGAACCCATAAAGGTTGTAGTTGCAGAATCCCAAAGTAGGCTACATTTCAAAATTCAGGGTTATTTTTTAAGAATTAAAATCTTAATGTAACAGTAGTGGCTGCCACCATTTAAAAAAAAAAAAAAACAAAACAAAAACAAAAAAATAACTTCAGATGCCAAACCTTTAAAAGGACATTGCTGGTGAATCTTGAAGTTTAAATTTTAACCCAAAGGATCCTCCAAACAAATTAAATAGCATTTTTTAAAGAGAATTGACTTAAAAGGAAAAATTAGGTTGGTAAAAAAATTGACTTTTCTTATGTGGATTTTGAAATCTAGCCCCCCGTGCAGTGTTGAGATATGCTTGGGAATATTTTTCCTGTGGAAAGGGGTTTTAGTTGAACTCTAAATGAACAAATTTTAGGGGAAAAAAACCAAAATATGGCTCTAATTGCCCAGTGTTTGATAGAAAGAATATTCCATGGGTAGGCCTGTAAAATTCTGATTTTTTGTAGCCCTTTGGGGCAGAAAATCTGATGAAAATTTCAACCTCACCCCCAAAAAAATCTCAATTTCAAGCAGTCCCAACCACTTGTTCAAGTGTATCTCAGCACGAGCTTTGCATAAAAAGGGACACTGCAGCTGTAAAAAAAAAAAAAACCAAAATAAAAAAAAACCAGACAAAAAACAATCCCAAATTTCACTTTGTACATAAGATAAAGTCCTAATTGGATTTGTTACACTGTCCTCCCACTCTGTTCTGGAAGAGAAAAATGCTACATTTTGTGTAAAGTCTGCCTAACTAGGTAGCTCAAAACGTGTCAAAATGTCTGTCTCAATCTGTCAATAAAGTTTAGTCCTTTTTTAATCAAAGTAAATGTGATGAATTGTCATTTGTTTTTGGAGGTTTTTTTTTTTTTTGTTTCAAACAACTTTAAATCCATGCTAAACTTAATTTGTCTTTTTTTTTTATTATTATTATTTTTATTATTATTATTATTGATTTAAAAACCGTGGAGGCATTTCTAAAAAATGGTGGTTTTTTTGGTAATTCTCTTGAGAAAACAAAAATTTTTCGAGCTTGTCGAGTTTAAATTTATTTTAAAAAATATGAAAAAAAAATACAAAAAAAATTTGTTTTTCACCCCCTGGAAGTTGCTGAAAGCAGTTTTGAGCCAGAAATCTGAATTTGGAAAGCGTTTGGTGGTTCTTTGCTCGATGATTCAGATTTCAGGTGGCCTCAGAGAATATTCCTGGTTTAAGTAGGAATGCTGAGAATTCCAAGGAAGTTGCTTTCTGTAACCCCCCCTTGGCAAAGATGATGCTTCCAAGCAGATTTTCCTTGGAAAAACCGCTTTAAAAATGAATTTTTTTTGGTTGGTGGAAGGTGCTGCAGCTGCTCCTTAAATCCTTTCTGAGAGGGTGTGGATGTAGAGATATTGAATTTATTTCTATTTCAAAAAATCAATGCTTCGTGGTTTGTTATTTCCCATCCAGCAGATGAATTTGGAATTTTAGGGGGAGAGGATTAAACTGCTCGGGGGTGAAAAATAGAATTTTAGGGAAAAAAAAAAAACCAAAAAACAACAAAAATGCAGCGCATGAACCGAGGGGAATATTTAAAAATATTTTTAAAAAAAAACCACACAAAAGTTGTATTTATAGACTGTTATTAAAGTGCAAATAACTGAATTTTCAACACTGGTTTGGAGTCAGCTTTCAGGGCATAATGTGATGAAAAGATCAGCCTATGCCCCCCCTTTTAAAGGAAAATTATCAGCAGGAGAAATCAGGATGTGTAAAGCTAACAGGCACCGCAAAGCCCAAAAGGTAACCTAAATGTCTGATTTTAATATAGCACATTTCTCTTTTCCATAAACCTGTGACGTAAACTTTTTACCCAGCCGACCCTTCAGATGTTAATTTAATGTAAAAGGGGAAAAAAAAACCCCCCCTTTTAAAGGAAAATTATCAGCAGGAGAAATCAGGATGTGTAAAGCTAACAGGCACCGCAAAGCCCAAAAGGTAACCTAAATGTCTGATTTTAATATAGCACATTTCTCTTTTCCATAAACCTGTGACGTAAACTTTTTACCCAGCCGACCCTTCAGATGTTAATTTAATGTAAAAGGGGAAAAAAAAACAACCCAAAAAAGTGAAAAAAAACAAAAAAAAAAAAAAATTTTTTAAATATAAACATTTAAACCAACCCACGTGGCATAAATTAGCAATAACTTTTAATAATGTGCCCTTGGCAGATGCACTGGGATGGAATGTGGGCCAAAAGGAATCTTTAAATATCCTGGATTTTTAAAGGATAAAAGATGTAAAATGAACGTGAATCCAAGCTAGTCCTGCTACTGCCAAAAAAAAAAAAAGAAAAACCAAACCCAAATTCTGCTCAGTTGTTTGAAAATGTCAATTTTTAGCCCCCCCAGTATTGCTGTTTCCTGTGAAATGTCCATAGCTCAGCTGAAGTTGCATGTTTTTCCTTCATGTGTAATTGCATGCAGGAATCTTTCTTTCTTTTTTCCTTTTTTTATTTTTTTAAATTTATTTTTTTTTTAGTATCTTCGTGAGGATCCTCACAATTTTTTCCTTTGATTTGCAGGAATTTGGGGCCGTGACTCAGCGGGGTGAGGAGGAGGAGGAGGAGGAAGAGCAGGGCCAGCACCAGCTGGGTGAGTTTTGGGGGATTTTTTACAACCCCTTGTTGAGTTCCCAACGTGGGGGTGGCACCATCTGAGCTGCTAAATTCCAATTTTTCCTTGGATCCACACCAAAAAAATAAAAAAGGGGAAGTTGTTTCTCTGAGGTCACAGCGTGGAGGAGGCTCCTGAGCTGAGATTTTAGGGGATTTTAAAGGATTTTGGGATGAGATCCGTGCCTTGGGATGCAGGGATTTCATGGTTCTGTGCTTCCCAAGTTTTGGGATTTGTTCCCTCTTGCCCTGGGGATGGCTCAGGAATTCCCACAGCAGGGGAAAATCCAGGAAAATTCCAGGCTGCAGATCTTTCCTTGCCACTTCCCAGCCCTTCCACACGCTCTGGGATGGGATGTGGCTGCTGGGAGTGGTTTTTGTGGAATTCTGCCAGGGAATCTCCCTCAGGGACCCCACAGTGATTTTTGGGGTTTAAAACCGTGGAGGCATTTCTAAAAAATGGTGGTTTTTGGTAATTCTCGTGACAAAATAAAAATTTTTTGAGCTTGTCAAGCTTAAATTTATTTTAAAATATATGAAAAAGACAAAAAAAAAATTGTTTTTCACCCCTTGGAAGCTGCTGAAAGAAGTTTTGAGCCAAAAATCTGAATTTGGAAAGCGTTTGATTGTTCTTTGCTTGATGATTCAGATTAATCTCACCCCATTCCCTTGGGCAGGGATTCCTTCCCCTATCCCAAATTGGCCTGGAGCATTTTCAGGGATGGAGCAGAGGAGATGCTTCCCTAAAAATTCTCTTTTGCTGGATGGCTGGGAGTGGTTGTGGGGTGATCACATCAGCAAGGACACAATTCCTTCATCCCCTTCCCTGTGGGATTCCAACATGCTGCCCCTGAGCTCCATAAATAAAAATCACCAAGGAATCCACCTTGAAATGCTGGAAAAGCCCAAATCCCAGCTGAGCAGGGGACGTGGAAGGATAAATCTCATTTTTTTAGGGGATTATAAAGCTCCCAAACGAGCCCCTCTTACCTCAGGAAAAGGGAAATTTGTGGGAATGCTGTAGCAGGGAGTTCACCCTGAATTCCTGCACTTGAAAATTGAATTTCCCTCTTGCCAGGAGAGAAATGACAGCAGGCCTGGATTTGTGGTTATCAAATCCATCTTCATTTCCAGTGGAATTGGAACACCAATTTTTTTTATGGCAATGCACCAATCTTTCCCATTTCTCTCTTAATAGGCCCAGCTTTTAGATCAAGTGGAAAAGATTTGATAGAGATCATCTCTTAGGAAGCAATTTATTCCCAAATGGATCTTGTGATGCTGCCTTTGGAATAACCCAGCTCGTGCCTTGCTTTTTGTGGGATGCTGATAGGAAAAGATGGAAATGTGAATATACTGAAATAACTGGATGTGCTGGGAGTGTTTTGCAAACATTCCCTGGATCAGACAGCTCCCTCCCTCCTTCCCTCCCTCTCCCAGCACTTTTCCAGGCAGGATTTAGCCCTGGAGCCTGCCAGAGCTCATTTGAGATCCCAAAATAACCCCTCAGCAGCAGAATCAGCCAAACATCCTGGGGTGAGGCAGGGATGGAGATTCCTGGGAGTCTGAGTCACCTCAGTTACCTGCAGAACCTTCCCTTTCCTGCTGGAATTCTGCTCCCAAGTGCCAGGGATCTCCTCCTCTCCCTGTTTTCCCAAAGGGCTCATCCACATCTTGTTATTTGTAGGATTTTGGGCAAGACCCCAGCCCAGAGAAAATCCCCCATTGTTCTTCACGTCTCCTCCCTGGAAGTGTTTCCCAACAAAATCCTGGTTTTGTCAGGCTGGGAACACCCTCCTGCTCCGTGTCTCAGCATTCCCAACTTCCCAGGGCTTTTCCCTGAGTGGGAACAGCTCCTGCAGCCTGCAGGGCAGCCCTGGGGTGTAAAACCCCAGCCTGGCTTTGCTCTGAGCTGGCCCAAACCTGGATTTTGTCCTTAGTGGGGAGTGAACCTGAGGAAAACGCTCCAGCTGGAATTCCAGAGGTGTCCCCAGCAGCTTTTCCTGGGAGGAGCCTCATCCCCTGCCCCTTCCTTACCCCTGCTTTCCATTTTCTGTTTGGAATATTTCAATAAAGCCAGTGGCTCCGAGCTTCATTCGATGGAATCATGGATTCAGGGAATGCTCCGGGGTGGGAGGGACCTTAGAGCTGCTCCAGTCCCATGGCAGGGCCACCTTCCACTATCCCAGTGCTCCAGGGATGGGAATTCCACAGCTTTTCTGGGGTTTTTTATCTCCCAGCCTCACTGAAAGCACAGTGGTTTGATCTTTTACCTCCAGAATTCCAGCTTGGATCGGCTGAGCTGGAGAGCACAGCTGGATTATTCCCACATCTGAGCAAATCTGAATTTTATATCGGAGCATCTGCCACGAGCAGAGCCGGGAAAAAACAGCTGGAATGTGCATTTTTACCTCCTTAACCCCTCCTGCTGCTCTCCCAAAGAAAATTTGGGATCAGGGGGATTCCAGCAGCCTGGAGAGACCCTGGAGGAGGAGGAGGGAGAGGGGAGCAGGGAATGCTCCAGCTGGAGCTTTTGGGGAGGAAAATTTCTCAGGGAATTCCTCCTCCATGGATCGAGGAATTTCTCCCTCATGGATGAGGGAATTTCTCCTCCATGGATCAGGGAATATCTCCTCCATGGATCAGGGAATTCCTCCTCCATGGATCAGGGAATATCTCCTCCATGGATCAGGGAATATTTCCTCCATGGATCAGGGAATTCCTCCCTCATGGATCAAGGGAATTTCTCCTCCATGCATCAGGGAATTCCTCCCTCATGGATCAGGAAATTTCTCCTCCATGGATCGGGGAATTCCTCCCTCATGAATCAGGGAATTCCTCCCCCACAAATCAGGGAATTCCTCCCTCATGGATCAAGGAATTTCTTCTCCATGGAATTTCCTCCCTCATGGGAATTCCTCCCTCATGGATCAACCCCCAGCACCTCGGATGAGCCGTGGATGGTGATGGGGAGGAATTCCTGCAGGCTGGGCAGTGTCCAGGGGGCTCCCAGCTACCATGGAGATGCTTTTCCCTCCTTTTTCCCCTCGGGAAGCTCCCTGGTGTGAGCACAGCTCAGCTGAGCCCTCCATATGTCTCCATGGGAATGTTTTTCCACGCTCCTTTTGCTCCTTTTGCCAAGAGGGAGCTGATTCCAGAGGATCAGTTCAAG